AATTATTTTATTATAAATCTAACCTACTCATCTGAACATGATTGGAGTATAATTTTCTGCTCAGCGGCCATGAATTCGAAATCCTACCAGTTTGCGATGTTAGCACGATCACCAGCCAATGTCTTCAGTGATTACTGATTTCCACTCCAAACCAGGTGGAACACGCTGCTCATGAATTCTATGTATAATTTAATGCGACTTAGTCCTTCAGCCAGTCACCAGTGAGCATCACACTATTCTCAACAGCTTTGTGTGAGAGACTTGACTTGATTCTAGACTTTCATCAAAGATTGATATCACTGAGATAAACATTGAAAACCAGGAGTGCTGAAGAGCAGATTTCTCCTAGTTTGAAACTCATTAGCGGTAAGCAGCCAGAGTCATTGAAATTCAGGATTTGTCTACTGCAAGACAGGATCTATGATCATTCATCCACTAGGACCTGACTGAATATCCAAACCATGAAAACAAAATATTATTTTCATTCTTAATTAACTGAATGTGAATCAATCACCTTAGTAGTGATATCGGCGGACGTTCTACGTGAAATATCGACCGTGCAAATTTCAAAATACTATGACTTCCAAAGCACTCATCACATTGTTTCGATATATTATTGGCCCGCCCTGAATAATTTGTAATGTTCGTATAATTCATTTCAGTTCAGTTGGTGTCGTTGTATTATTTGTCTTACTCTTCGTGAAAAAGTACATTTGGAATATTTTACGCTTCATATAATCCTTGGAATTATAGAAAGTAAAGATATAATATAATATTACACTGAAACATGAGGCTTTGCACCAGTTAGTTGCATACGTTGGTTCTTAACGCTTATCTCACTAGGTTAAAACATAACAAGAGAATATGTTCGATCATCTGATCAAAATTCGATCTCAAAGAAGACGGAAAACTAAATGAGACGACAAAGATATATTTTCCCATGCAATTTGGTGCTTAGTTGACCATTGTTTACACAGTTCAAGATACAGACACTATGATGTAAGTGGATAGGATGTGCCAACCAAATTGACTTCAGCCTCAAACCCCGCTAGGAGAAAACTGTTTGTTTCTACTCATTAAATTCTCTTCTCCTAAACTAAGCAAATGATTCTCACTTACATTATCTTAAAAAATACCTTATGCTCATTTCGGCTTATTCACATCCACGATTTCCACAGAACAATGTGGCAATCTATTTAATTCATAACAATAAAGAAGAAAGCATTTTCCTCATATATTTGTTTAGACACAAAAAATGTGAATCCGAAGCGGGTATAGCCCACGGAAAGAAACGACTGAATTAAATGCCTTCGGTCAGTTTATTGGATAAACAAGTAAGGTAGAAAATACCACTACTTTGGTGAGTGTAGATCAAAGAACAGCAGTGTCAGCAAGCGGCTTTATCCAGATTGTGTAATGTACCTGTCGGCAGTTGATATGATCGACAGAAAAAATGACGGTCAAAAATGAATTTCATACTACAATAGTTTTGATAATTCCCCGTTGAAATGAATGGATGAAGATAACGAACAATTAAGTGTCTTTCCAAATTAAACAAAAAATAGTCGTGTATTACTGTCCTCATAATCATATTAAGGTATGATATGATATGATTATGAGCAATAAATTTTACTCGAAACGTCATCAGTAAATATAACTGTATAACACTGTGAGACTTCACCAAAACAAAATTTCGCCACATGGAATTACACTCTACCACAGTGCACAAGTTTTATTCTTATATCTGATGTAATGTTCTCAAGTGTCTTGTGCTTGTGGCAGGCGTCTCTAAAGTTTTCAGTGTTGTGGATTCGTTTCATAAACAACTCGAAATCTCATCGTCTTTTCATTCTTGCAATTCTTTATCTTCCATTTCACAAATCTCGCGTCTGTTAGGCTAAATGTCTTTGTAGAAAGTTACTCACTGTCACAGTCTCTTCTTTCTGTCCTAAGAGGGCTGCACAGGTTTCGTTGAACATCATGCTCTACTACATACGGTTTCCGAATTCCTCCTCATAGCTGCAGTGACTGTTGCTATCATAGTTTAGTCCTTTGATTTACAAATACCGACCTTTAACTGTCTTCTTTTCATAGCTTGTTTGAAGGCTTACAACTTAATTTTGAAATTTCTTCTCACTAGATAATTGCTTCGGCCACATATGCTGTTTTTATAGATTTCGTGTGTAGGAGGCTATGTCTTCACTTTCTTGAGATCGCGACGAAGATCACCTGATTTTTAGCTTGTCCGTCAGGTGAAGTCCCTGTTGCTTTGTATATTTTCTTGTGTTACAATGCGCTGCCTGCGATCCACAGATCATCGTTAACACAGAAGTATGCAAAGACTTCCCCGATCGGATTCGTTTGATAGAAGGTTTCTCAACACATGTTCAGTTCACTTCCAGTATTTTCCACTCCTAGTTTGGCATTTATAACGTTCATCAAGATTTTGTTGTCACACATTGCTTATTGCACTTGTCTATAGAAATCTTCTTTTTCACTTGATCTGTGCTGATTGTGGCCGCGTAGCATTGAATAATTGGTACTTATCTTCTTTTTGAGTGCAGCCTTGCTGTATTTTCCTGGGGGAGAGAGTATGTGGTGTTGTTGATGAAAACATGACAGCTACTCTCTAAGTGTGCTTGTGGTTCATCTGGGTGACCAGTACGTATTACTGACTGTCCATTTAATACGTCTGATAGTTCACTTCTTCCTCCTTCGTGAACGGCAACCCGGTCTATGAAACATCTTTTCATTTCTTTTGCAAGCTGGTCAGCCTCAGAAAACTGTGTCGAAAGAAAACACTTAGTCTGATTTTCTTCGTTAATTCCTTTACTAGCCTGTGTCATGTAGTCTCTTCGATTTCAACAAAGTGTAACTTCCCTTTTAATATTTGCTGTTATTTTATGGCTCTAAAGAGACCTATTTGATGTTCCAGAGCAGAATGGCTTACTCTTTTTTTATCCTTAAAAACTGCTCGTAAACGATTCAACCAGTAAATTAGGTGAGGTTTTCAAATATTTTCCTTTGTTTTTCGTTTCGTCCAGCTGCCTCCTTATATAATCGATTACATCATTCCATTTATTGAACGCATCTTGTAAGACTAGTATAGTAATCAGGTTCTAGGTTAAGTGAATGTCTCCTGACAGTAATCAGTATCTGCCGCTTCTCAAGCATCGAAGCACTGCGTATAGATATTCATCTTGGATTCACATAAGGAATGTTTCATAAGAATCACATGAAATCCCCAAGATATTTGGAAGGCAAGAAAAAACCAGAATATGGAGAAGGATCTAATCATGTATAAATTTATTCTCGTAGCCCATAGAAACAACTAATTTTGAACATAGATATACGGCTACAGTGATTGAAATCTAAAATGGGCTTCGACACGAAATGTCATTAGGAGTAATAATACACCACAGTCGACAAAATCTCTCATATTGTGAATTCTGGTTCAATAACACTTTCATAAAACTATTAATACCATTAAGTGGAGAAACGTCATTAAAACGGTAACGCAGTTTTATCTTTCATCTTTCATTGAAGAATATAAGTCATTTTCTACTAATAGGTCTCCTATGTTTTTTGCACATCATTCGCAACGTTGTTAACAGAGTTCGCTTTTTAATATTTTTGCCTTAATTCGGCTATATTCAACTATAAACGACATTCAGGTTGATCCGTGTTCTACTTGATACTCAGTGTTATTTTGAACGCATTTCAGTAATTGAGAATTTTAATCATGTGGAAATAAGGGCTCTCAAAACATAATGCTGACTTGGTTACCATCTGACCTTGGTGGCCTGCTAAAATCCGGACTGCTTTAGAAAGGTTTTGCTTTGCTGAGAAGAGCACTAAAACCGGTAGTAGGGCGAGTAGGATATCGGTAAACTAACTGGTTAGGACTATTGTGGATAGACATATAATGTCATGTAAGAAACTAGCGAATACTATATTGTCTGAACCTGAGCATCATCTCTATACGCAGCTCTCTCCTTGCATTTCATCTGCTAGAACTAAAAGCAGCTATATGAGGCTATATGCTAGGACTACCAAGTACAAAACTCCACAATACCTAATCTGGCACAGTTGTTTTGTGATGAGAAATCCGTTAGGTATGACACGATCAACTTACTGAGGCACTCTAACAATTAGTCCCATTAGTTTCGGTTTTCCTTTCTTTGTTACTACTATATTGTTGTTCACATCTTCTATTGCACACTAAATTTATATTTCATATCCTGTGGTGCATTGTTTAAAAATGTAAACGCAAAGCTGTTCCTTTTTATCTTTTGATTGTTGCTTTTTGATTTTAAAATCTTAGAAAACTTTTGAGGTAATTAGATGCAATATTGTAATGCATGCTGAAATTTCCATACCTGTAACACAAATACTGTTTGGAATAAAGCTGTTTTTATTATTATTTACATTGTATATAAAATTAGGCCTATAATTCAGTCATTCGCAGACCGTGATATGTCTTCATATCATGGATGACGAATTTACTGTATTCGAATGACGCACAATGTGTCTGAGAATTTCCATTCAATATATTATGTTGTACACTGTGGTTAACGAAATAACCTATGGACAACCAACCCACTATTTATCAATCCCAACTTGAGTAGAACTTCACAAGTCATCTTTGCCATTGTATTTTATGGAAATCCGCGTAACAAATAACTTGAAAATGTCAAGTTGATGGGATTTCTTTGTGCGTATGTGTAACTTTTAGTCGCTGGCAATTAATTACACTTTTCCTCATTGACTACTCGATACACTTCGTCCGACAAAACAATAATCCTCGAGTTGTGCGCAAGTGGTCAGCCTTTTTGTTCTAATTAGCTACTTCACTCTGAAATATCACATTCTACTAAAAAGACAGAAAATACCAACTAGAACAAGATCTTACGAAAGAAAATATTATATTTAATTAAACAAAAAAGAAAGAAGAAAACAATGTATTTACTTCACCAATATTGTTTGAATTCCCTTGGAATTCAATTCACTTCCCTGCAGCTGAAACAAAATGAAACCAGAAACATAGTAAAAGTGAGTTGAAAATAGACACGTATCTTGTACAGCATAAATTATTATCGACAGTTTTCATCTAACTGACAATAACACTAATCCTAAGGCAATACTTCCAGTGAATATTGCAACACAGATTAGGTGTGTACATTATCTGGCTGATTGCGAGTTACAATTCCCCTCACAGTAAATTATCTATGCAAATCACATCTGAATTTACGATATTCTCAACAGATATTACAACCCTGATATTGAGTGCCGCTACCGACTGCGGTCATGTGGCCGGTCAGTCAGTAGCTCAGCCATCATGCACCTGTTGACTGATCAGTAATCAAGAAATGCTAGTGAACAGAAGTTCATTGTTACTTGTTTCTCAAGGATTCATCTAGCTGATTTCAGCTAACCACGAAATTCATCTTCAAGTTCATATTCACTTGTGCAGTTAGTTAGTAATTTAAAACACGCTGAGGATCTAAGTAAGAACTTACTTCAGTAATACTGCTTGGCATCTTCCTTCATTTCAGCCAGGAGCCAGTTTATTCTATCTTCTGGGGTAAGAACTAGGCAGTTGTAAATCATTTCAATATTCCAACTTACACTTGAAAAATTCAATCCTCTTCATTTCCAATAGTTTTATTTTCTCACCTAGTTCCTCTAAAACAGTGAATAGATTGTCAGTGACGCATTAGTACCATTTTTAATGTTACGTTGCAACAATATGAAATAAAACTCAAATCTCACTTTGCTCGATCATGTAATGTAGTCTCCATGTAACTGTTATTCTGAACTTAACAACGTGTATCATAAATTTGTATGGCTTTATTGCATGATGCATTGATGAAGTCACTGAAGCTTCATCGGAGTAGTTTCGCATGTCATGGTAATATGAAATGAACTCTATAGGAGCAGTAAATTGGACGCTTTTGTGCATATCTATTTTAGACTGAATTGTCACCAACAATAATACTGCTGATTTTATCAACAATGCAGCCTAATTTGGTATAAGTGAATACGACGACTTGATAATATAAACACCATTAACCATACAGGCTCCTTTTTTCTCTTACAAAAATAAAATTCACCGAGAGGTGCATTCATCTCTAGAACTATGAAATATCACATGTGATCAGATAAAATAATCATCTGAAATTACTTGTGCCGATGGCGAAATTAACACGAGCCTTCTGATACACTTCCGTGATTCTAGCAGCATACAATGAGTCTGAAATGAATAATAACTTGTTATCAAACTCAGATTCGCTTGCGTACTCGAAATTATTGAAGGGAAGTACTTCATACAAATACATTCAATGTGTTATGAGATATGCGTTATTAATTTCCGCGCTTTGTATTTTCAATTCGTGAGTAAATTCTTACTTTCACTTATCGTTTGGTTGGTCTGTTGTCTTTACCTTCACATGATCTTCAAACCTAATATCTTCAAGAACAAGTCACTGTCTATTCAAAATACCATGCGTTGTTCTGTTCATAATTTATCCGATGTTTGCTTGTTGACGATCAAAATTTAATTATTTCTGACAACCAGCTAGTAACGGTGATCCAATTATGATGATGTCATTCTCCGTTAAACATGAATTTCTGAAGTTCCTTGTTGTAGTAATGTCATAATTCTCAACCAAATATGAATCGCATGGATTTTAGTGATGAATACATTTCGAACTTCGAAGTATTGTAAGCAAGGTAAAATTGTTCGCTCACCACTTCTAGATCTTCTTTTCTTCGCAGTTCGGAAATAATCTAAGCAATAAAAATACAATCTTATGATATGATTATGAGAGAACGATTCCTCTAGAAGCATCGTCCAGTTATAAATACCATGAAAATGTGTGTTATATTCACCGAACTCATCTGATATTGAATTATATTCTACCACAGTATAAACTATTCCCCTCCTCAGTCAACGTCATCTTCAATTGGTCTACTCTTGCGTCTGCTTTCCATTGTGAAGCAAGGTGGAAGTCGATCTCACCTTCATTTCACTTAACAAGTGAGTGGAAATTATCAAATAGTTGTGTTCGTCAGACGTCTGTGTGTTGACGTCTACTTTTCATACATAATCATCAACATGTTCATCGATTTTTGAATCGTTAAAGGCTTTCTACTAGCTTCATTGCACCTTGAAGTACACTGATCAAATTGATGAATATATGCACTCACTTAAAATATCTCTGTATTGATGAGTTGTCCTGATTGCCGCGGTTTCCAGCCATTTCAGCTCAGCTAAAAAACAGGAAGTGTTGAATGATGTTTAAAACGCTAATGAATAAATTTAACCGAAGAAATGTGCAGAACACTCCTACAGAAGATCGTTTTCTCCCACAACGACACCATTTCATGCGAGACTTAACTGAATACAACATATAGATGATTCAAAAACGTGTCATAATAATTTGATTATTTCTCAACACGTTTTTCTTCACCACACAGTGAATATATCAGCTTTCAGAAGTTTAGTCCACCTCTCACGAAAAGAGCGATGACTCGCCGGTGGTGAAACTTGCCTTCCAAATATTTCTGAGAAGTTATTGTACTGGTGGTGAAAAAGGCATCTAATACATACTAGTTGATGTGTCTGTTATTGATGAGTAAATAGGGCACTTAACGATTAACTGTAAACAAAATGACTAGTGAATTTTCACACTAAAAGTTTATTAATTATGAACGTAGTGTGCAATATAAATTTACAGAATCCTTTTACCTTTGGATGTTTTCACTGCTTCCTTTGCTTCCATAAATTCCTTCTTTATCATTTCAATTTGAACTATAATTTTACAGTATCGAAAAGTGTGAAACGTCTCATTGTGTGTTCTTCAGCGTGAAATAATCATATTAACTCAATGGCTTCTGACTGTCGCAATACATGGCTATCCCGTTGGTAATGTGCAGCTTACCACATGACATTTCTAGTAGTTTACTGATATCAATAACACGAGTGCATTCACTAGGTGTAAACTGCATTTATACTGCATCTGTGCCCAACTTCAAAGTTCGCTTGACGTATTCCATTATAGAAGAATAACTGCTTCCGTAGAATGTTGAAATTTTTCGGAATAATTTGTGAAATCACTGAATGAATAATCATGTCAATGGTTTTGCATTTTACAAGTTGTATTTATAAAGACATGCTACAATTCGAGTAATATAATATAACGTAGAGAAATAGCACAACACAGAAGCTCTGTGAAAATGGTGGTTTGAAGATAAGGTGTACATAATTTGACAATTTGGAGATACAAAATCCGGAATAAGCATTGCTTTACCAAGTCTCTTTTCTTCTATCGTTACACTGACAGTTGACTACGTGAACTTATTTCTGTCCATTATTTCTAGGTTAACTATAGTACGTAAGGCAAAGGTGTTGACACGCACACACACATTTCGCACTAAAGAATAATAAAACCATGTAATACACTTTTTACTTGTTGGTGATAAAATGTGGAAAACAGTGTTCATTGTCATAATTTTCATCGCGTATTACTCATCAAGTTGATCCTTCTGTAAATGGAATTCCGATCGAAATCCACCTGTGTCATTACTCAATCTGCTTATGCTCAGTGAATTCTGGCAGATTCGTATGCGTGGAGGCAGGTTTTTCACATGTTCAAACAACTCGAGATTTGAGTCGAACAATCAACTAGCTGATGTATCTGGTTGTCATAAAGGATATTCATACATGGTTTATTACGAATAAATTTCACTGCCTTTAGTGGTATTGTGAATATGCATATTAATTAAATCATAGGAACTACTATTCACAAAATGACGGGAGATATTTCAGTACAGTTAATAAGTTACGAAGAATGAATTTCAAAGTGAAAGAAAACTAACTTTCATCTTTCTCCGAATTGCCTGATGTCTCGGCAAAATGTTTACCTGCAATCGATACACAACGCCATAAATAAACTTCCAGGTATACGATGAATCCAACATTATCATAATCAATTGACTCAGCTGTCATCAATTTAAATAACCTGCTTGCTAGGTACAAAGCTTTGTGAGAAAATGCTATCAAAACCGTCGAGTAAGTGTACTGTAACTCACATATCGATGGAAACTAGTCGGTTTTCAACTGATCCTAATGACGAAATATGACTAAGTGAATACATGGATGGGGTTTGCTCACTATCGCTATTCTCTAAACTACTCTCCATTAAACTTCATGCAATTCTTCCTTAATAAACTTGAACAAAGCAAACTCTCCATTATTCGGACGGTACGTTCATGCACAGATGTTTCCATTATTTTACAACAAGTGTGAATGTCAGTGCTGATGAGAAAATCGCGGGTATTCAATAAGTCTAAAAAAACAAATTATCGTGGACATAACTCAGTGAGGGGAACCGATGAAATGTGCAGAATACTCCTACAGAAGATCGTTTTCTCCCACAACGACACCATTTCATGCGAGACTTAATTGAAACTGTCAATAAGTGATGTATCAAATTTTTTTCTCGTTAAGTCAGATAACACACTCGTGAGTGTGATTTTAAAAAGGACATATCGCTATTTCGATGTGTTGTGGTATATCTTGTGTGAAAAGGAGAAGGTTTTGTGGCTCTACGCGCTTCACCTAATTACAAAATATCATCATTCCCTTTCTTACAAAATATCAAATAACCTACTGCCTTTCTAAATAGAGGAATCTTAAAAATTTTACCTTCTGCAATATCGAGATATTTTCGATTTTCCCATTTCTTTGAAATATGCGTTTTTGTCTGATTGTATAATCCTTTATTAGCTGACGAAAAAAAATAAAAAATCACTAGGTATAATTATTACTTATAAGCTCTGTATGATCTGGACTACATGATGTTTTTTAGCTGTGAAGTGTTCCTCCAAAATGTTGACAGTGGTAATCTACCTAGATGCCTTAGTATGACTCAGCTGTAGGCATCTAAAAGATTTCAGCGTAATATCAACCACTGAGTTCATCTGAGACATATTTAACAGTTTTGAATGTGAATGTTTTCTGTGTAAGATTCGGAAGCCATATGACTACACATATACAATCTATTAAAATAATTATCAGTTGAAACGATAATGTCATCAATGAACAGACAAATAAGCTGGAGATCTTCTGAATATCACTGGAACAATGGATCTTAGTAACAAATCACTATAAGGAACAAATAAAAGAGCGGTCTACTTTAGTAAGAGAAGTCTTGACGGCGATCAGATTTAACCACTGCGTAATTTCGCTCAAAAATGTTATGGTAGAGAAGTGCGATTGACGTGGATGAAAAGGAAGTATGATTGAAGATTGAAATAATGACTTGACACAAAACCTCAGAACAAAATCTTGTGTACATTCTTCACAAAACTGGTCGCCTAATTTCAGCTAAGCTATGAACTTTAGATTGAGTAGTATTATAACGTTTAGTTAAAAAATCAATCATACCAAGAACTGTGTAATTAAAAGAGGTATCTTCTTCCAATGCCTTTCTGTATTCATCTATAGAGAAAGGAAGCATTGTTTGGTGCATATTTAATTACTCAAATAGCCAACAATCTGTAGCGTGTATTTGTACACTTTGATAGTAGGAAAGTGTGAATTAAGTTCATTTATAAACAGACAGCGTTACGTACATTAATAAATTTTCTCATCAATCGGACAATCAATTTCAAATAGAATAGTTACGCGCATCTCTCTCAGCAGATATCATGGATGGATGTTGTATGTGGGATCGGTTTGGATTGAAGGGAGACAAATCATGAGCGAATATCACAGTACAACTGCAAATCGTCATCAATCATAGGTTAGAATGGCAGTCAACTGCTTAAAGCATCCCCACGGAATATGAGAAGACTTCGACAAACTTAACTGTGAAGTAACTTGCTTGCCTTACCAACAGTGCTGAGTGCTGCATACTCTGATGCATCTCATTCAACAGGCAAGGGATTAGGTTACTTTCGAAGCACTTTTCAGCGGAAAGTTCATGGAAATGAGACAAGGCAGTCCACTAGCGCCTATAGTATTGTTCTGAAGTGAACCATTCGAAACATGTTTTGTGGTGAGCAGCTCAATGTATCACCAAGAAAAACGGAGGAGGAATAACAGTAGTAATATCATAATGTAACTGAATAACTAAGGATTTATTTAACCATCCAATATTTGATGAAAATAGAGTAGAAATAAGTTATCTAAGTTTCGAAGTAGTGTAAATGAACTTGAGATATCTGTGGAGTATAAATTATATTCGGAATGTTATCAATGATGCATGCTGTTTTATTGCATAATGTATGTATTGAACAGGCCAATGTTAAAGAGGACATTGTAGAGAAAATGGATGATGGAGGAAATTGTTTCACTACTGAATACCACGTCACCCGTGATTGAATTGACGACAAATTTTAAAATGCTTCACTGGATTGCATTCGTATAGATGAGTGATAACGTCTTCACTTGTTAGGCTTGTCAAATAAAAATCAATACAAGCACCTACAGTTACATCTGTCACACGAAATGATTTCAAGCTGACGTTCATTTCACAAACAGTAACATGGTGTTTTTGTCTTCAGATAACAAATGATTTTTTCACATGCATTCTGTTTATTATTTTAGGAAGAAATAACCCACCAGTAGAAAAATTCACCAGCTTCTTATTTTCTGCACCGATTGCTGTAAAAGGGTAGACAATTTTGGGGAAATAATTTACTTGCACTCGGAGGCATGGTAAGAAAGAGACGGTAAGAAAACCTCAAATGTCTGCCGAGGGTTTGTCGGACATGAAAAGTACAACAAAGCAATGCGAAACACAGAAGCTGCTTGTTTTTATACTAAGTACATGGCAACATATTTGAGGCGTTACATAACTTATCCATCAGACTATACTGTGTCTGCGGTGAAAAGAATATTGAAAGGTGAATCAACAGCATTCATTCGGCAGATGGCCAAATGTAGCCACCGTTTATGTTATAATTCAGTATTTAATGCGATGCATATAGAAAAGATGTGTATTGGATTAATTTGTAAAATGTGCTTATGAAATTCATTCCTCAACTTGAAGTTCCTCCATAAAATGTTGCAGACTCTTTGTTTTAAGAATTTTATGTGCTACTGACACCTGGAGAACAGTCTCCGACATACTAGTTTTGATAATTTTTGCCTAGTAATTGAATTCTTTGGTCATCTCCGATGACACTTCAATACATTTCAATTCACAAACCAACATATTTAACTTCAGTTAAACTCAAGCCTTTATTGAACACACGGACCATTTTAGGAACATTAAAGAATCGAATGCGTGAATGATGGGACTTACATTCGAGAAATTCCTTTGCCCATTTACTTTGATATAAGTGTTCAAGTCTCAGGATTTCTGTTTAGAGTGGAAAAAAACACAAAATTAGGGTATGCCGTAATGTTGGTTGGTACGGGTTTTTTGTTGAGTGAATATTGACTATTAGAAAACAGAAAGATTCAGCGAATAAATATTTACTTTTCAATTAGATCCTCACTAGGTGACGCTGGTTTGAATCTCAGAAAGCGACATTAGTTCCTTCAAGCTCGTTGCAGATACGCCTTGCTGACGAGTGCCAAATGACACGAACCTAGGTCGAAGGATTCCTGTCGATTGCCTTTAATCGTCTTATATCATCAAATCAATATGCACCGCGGTGGCAAGCTGCCTAGAATGGTGGCCACATTACAAACCTGACTGAAAGAATTCAGTCTGCACCAAAGAAAGGACTAGACACAGTACATCAGTTATCAGTGTCCAATCAAATTATCGAACGTTTCGAATACCATGATGTTACTGGAAGTCGGAAAGGTGACAGAACCAGGTGAAATTTCATTGAAAGCAACTCATTGGATATGCTCACGCCACTGGTGCATTACATTTCAGATGACGGAAAGTTGCAGGCTGGTTGGATGGATAGGCTACCTTGCCAAACTATCAGAGAAAGGTTGCTTATATCTCTGCAAGAATTGAACGAGGAATAATGCTTCCTCCCAATCCAAGCAAAATACTGGCTGGTGTCACCCTGGAGAGACTAAATGATGGTATGAAGGTGGATTCAAGAAAAGCAACACCTCGTCATCGTAGGGAGCATAGGATTGCAATCAAATATCTATCTCAACTTCACTGACTTTGAAAAATCCTTCGACAGCATTGGAAACTATGGAGTACGATGCTCCGAACAGCTACGGGAACTTGTCAAATGCTAAGAGATCCACAATGGAAATCTCAGTGAGGCTGGTCACAGATGATACTCCTGTTAGTGGGCAACTGGGTCGTGTGAGAGACCGTGAGGAGCAGTAAGATGATCATACGTTGATGCAACAGGCAGACTTGGGAATGTTTGAACTTCGTCGATGACTTATGTCTAATATCACACGAAGTTGAAGATCTGCAAGCGATGACACGTCTTCAAGTGAGCATAGAGAAAATAAAAGCGTTGAACACAACTAACCTACCAACCAACAAACAGCGATGGTAGAAATGTGAGAGAAATCATTTCTTGTACTTATCCAGGAAGCACCATTTCAACTATACGTGGTGGCAGGAGTGACGACACTGCAGTCAGCTTACGTCAGAGAAGCAAGACCGAATTTCACTGCTTTCAATCCAGTAGGCGAGTATAAGGGAGACAAGGTATGGGTCCTCAACACTGACGTCAAATCCATGCTTCTACATGATTCAGAGACTTATCCTGTCGATATAAGCATTTACAAAAGACTTTTGTAAACATCTAATTTTGATGCCTCAGTACTGAAGACAAGGATGTTAGAAAGCATTAGCAGCAAGGAAGTCTGTTGACAAACCAGTTATGCACCTACTTCCCAGCAAATATGTCGAAGGAATTGAAAGTGTATGTTAAATGAGTTGAGAAAACTATTGACTGATATCACACTTCGGTCCGTTTAATGGAACGTGAGTGTTTCATGAGGAGGTGAGCGGTGGTGACGTTGTAGAGCTGGTGTGGGAGGAAAATACAGGTTATTTGGCCAATTGTGCAGCCAGCTACAATGGACTGCATAGAGGAGGGTAGTATGGAGATGTGCAGTTGAGGGCTTATTTTACCTAGACAGACATTATTTCAAACATTAGAACCTGTCAGCGTTGTTCTGTTACCTTAGATTTTATCACGCATAGACCAAGAGGTACATTTCATCTTCATCACATGATGACAAACAAACGAGATATTCAGTCATCCTCAAAAGCATCACAACCGCGCATCTTTGATTCATTGGAATGCATGAAATAAGAAATAAACTATTGATCGAAAAAGACCTGACAAAATATTCATGGCTGACATGTATTTGAAAAAGACGTGAAAGCCAGGAAAATTGTCGTTTCAACGATTCCTATCATAATCTGCAATTATATTTAACAAAGAAATCATAAGACCGACCAGAAACTGGCAAAATTTGTCCTCGAATAATGGTAATACGTAATGCAAGGCGTAACCTAGAAGGAGACAAATTTTACCAGTATCTCATTGGTCCTATGATTTCATTGTTAAATGTATTTTCCATTGTACAGCTTATGAAAATGAATCGTTGAAAAGAAAATGTTCTTCGTTGCTTACGTCTATTTCTTATGACTCAAAATGGGAATAATTCGTTCACTGCTATTCAAATGCAGCCATGTAGAGAATTTGATGAAATTACTCACCAGGTTTTATTATTGTTTTGAAATTCCAGTGATCTTTGAATGTCTGAATTTCAGTCATGCGAACTAAAACAAACAAACGGGTGGAAATAAGTTCGAAGCATGTGGATTGTTTAATGCTTGAATAAAAGTTCTGACAGATTAAATGTCGACCTGCAGGCAACATGAAATCACGCTTTCTGTCTTTGTGTAACTAATTATTCATGTATTGTGCCTGTCCTCCGTGCATTATCGACACACTTCCAGATAAATGTAAGTATCTAGCGCACAATCCGCTGCTAAACAGTACTAAATGAAAGGCCTTTTAGCCTCATCAAAATAACTCTGCAACTGCTATTCATTACATCTCAGTCAGTAATAGGCACATGCATCCTGGAGATTTTCAAGTTTCCTGAAATAAATGAAGCACTATCACTCACATTGAAGCACCAGTTTCCTGTTCTACTTTACTAGAATGATTTGCATGTTATTACGCTTAGGTGACATTACATACATCTGTTGAAATGAGAAAGATAGCTCCCCAAATATTTTTGAAAGCTACTCAGTGTTGTCAGTGACTGAATTAGGTGATAAGCCGTCTACAAATCAAGGCAAGCGATATAAGTAGTAAGATAATGTGAACACTGGTCGTTACACAACAGTCTAAAGTAAGGAGACAAGCATATAATGATTTCCGGTGAAATAATCACATACATTTATAATCCACAGCTTCACGGTATGAATCTGCGTATGCGTCCAGTGTTGAATTCAGATCATCTGAAACAGAGAAAATAATTCCCTCGAGCTATTAAACCCTTCATTCACCAGGTCATAAGCACACACAAAAATAAAATTCTCTTGTATATAACAAATCAGATAATTGGCTGATTCAACTGTTTCTGAAGTCCACAAACAAACAATGAATATCGCCCCAATCAAAAGTTACGCTCATCTCACGATGCATTTTACTACTAAGAGGTAAAATTGTTCTTGCATATTCAATTTTGTCAGTTTATGCCTACAACCTCTAAAAGTGATAATTTTGGTATTCATTTTTCTACAGTGGAATGACGTTGACGTTTGTAAAAAATTTTATTTGTAAAACCTTAGCGAGAGTGAAATGAGTAATTCCAACGTTTTGTTGAGTGATGTTGTCCTGAGTAAATGGTATTTACAACAGGCAATCAGTTGAATACATCCGAATGTCTTAACAACGAGTATTCACTTAAATGCAGAAAATCCACCACCACAGTCCATTGTAAACTAAGACCAGTTAATGTCACAAGTAGAAGATGGGGCACACCTGGGAAAATGTTGTGACAGGACACTGTCAACGAAAGCTAGACAGCAGATAGATCAAAATCATGCTGTAAAACGGACAGTGGATTGAAAATGAAGATAACCTTCTACTACACCATTTAGGATCAAACATACTTTTGTAAAGCGTAAAAGAGATAATCCACAAAACCGTCTCCAGTAGCTAATAATAGTCTGTCAGCAAAAGCCTATTGCATGGAAGAGAAGGACACTGTGACAAAATGTAGCAAACTCTTACAGTGAGTATCCAACTTGTTTTCATCATCTGAAAATAAAATGGAAGACAATGGCTCAAATGAGATTCAAGTTAATGCTGTAAAGAAAAAGCTCACCAATCAAAAAATATGTAAAAATTGCAATGAATGATAAAACAAGTTTGTATAAATCGGAACTATCTATCTAACTATCTCGCTAGAGGGAGGATTGAGCGTGGGGCCAGCAACCAACAACACTGAATATTCCAAACTGCTAGAGAAACTTCAACGCAGGGAAAATATATTAAGAAATACAAACACTTCAAGTAAAAATCTTACTCTTCACTCAAATTGAAGAGGTGAAATGTCGCGAGAAGTCAGTCAGCCAGCTGATGTGTCTTCTGTCAATGAGAGGCAAGAGTAAGAGTGGTTACGTGGAATGTCCGTACAATGTACGAGACTGAGAAGGCTGTCCAGCTAGCCTAAGAGATGCGAAGATATGGCTTAGTAGAACTGGGTGTCTGAGAAAGCAGATGGAATGGATGCAATATTCAACTCCAAAGGAAGGAAGGTAACAATTATCCAATGCTAAGCACAGTGCTACAAACAACGCGGAACAAGAGAAGAATGACGGCTTTTACAGACAACTGCAAGCTGCAATGGACAGCGTCCCAAATAGTGACATCAAAATGCTTAAGTGCGATATGAATGGGAGTCGAAATGGGAGCAAATAATACGGGGAGAGAGCTCATCCTGAGTCGAGAGTCTCTCGAAGAAAGAGAACGGAAAATTATTCGCTGACGTCTGCGCTTTCACTGATTTGGTGATCAGAGAGGTGTGTGTACGAGCGCAAGTATATACGCAAAATAACAAGGATTACGGCTGTTGGGCACATAACAAACCCGAAAGACTTCATCTCGATTCTGCTCGTGAAAGTGGAAACGCAGCCAGCCTGCTGTACGCGAATTCGAGACGGGGAGCAGATATGAACTCAGACCATCATCTAATTCAGATAACCTTCAAGGGAAAGCTGAAATCCTTCAGAAAAACTGGAGACTGGCAACTGTGATTCAAGTTTAATATTCAGAAAGTGAATGACAATTCCACAGATCAAATCCCAGCAAATTTTGAGACACTACGTGGCATCAGTGAGGAAACATGTGTGGAAGAACATTGGAACTCTTTGAAAGCGATATTTATGGAAACCTGTACAACTGTCTTATGAAGAGGGAAGTGACAAGAGAGGGAATGGCTGTAAACAGATACCTGGAAGCTAATCGAGGAGAGGAGGATGGTGAAAGAGAGGACTCATTACGAAGTTGGACAAGAGAAGAAGAAACCGAGTACAGTGTATATTGCACTGAATAAAGAAGTGAAGAAGAGTGTCAGAAAAGACAAATGACTATTCTACGACATACTGGTTTGCAAGTGAAGCAGAACAGGCAGGCTGCAGACAAAAGAGACATGAGAACACCAAATTAGATAACCAAGTCGCCATCTGGGAAGAGATCAACTCAGATGATGAAACAAATAAAAGATGCTTGAGGGAACCTGACCACAAAGGAGGAGAAACAAATCAAACAATCGCCTGATAACTTTAAATGGGATGATTCTTGAATCGACTACCACTGGCAACACGTCTAGAAATACCAGCAAAAGCAAAAATGTAAGTGCTAGTGGACATTACTCCTCTGACGGAAGAAGAAGTCCTGATTGCGATCAAGCTACTGAAATCCAAGAAGGCTCTCGAAGCTTCGAAGAAGGCCCCAGAGATTACGGCAGATGTCCTCACTCCATTACTAAAAAAAGTTTATAAAGGAGGAAAGGCGCCTACAGAATAGAAGAAAGGCTACCTCGTCAAGCTGCCAAAGAAGGGCGACTTACATCCCACTCTACAAGAACTGGTATGGAATGATGATCTTGTCCACACCAAGTAAAATACTAAGTCACATCATCCTGTAGAGAATAATGGATGCATTGGATGCAGAACTCCGCCCGTACACTCGTGACGGGCTGGATTCAAGGAAGGTAAATAGTGTGTTGATCAAATTGCAACTCTACGCATCGTCATCAAACAAAGCATAGGATGGTAGTCAAACCTCACTCTACATCAACTTCATCGACTTCGAAAAGGCCTACAACAGCGTTGAGCGAAAAGTAATTTGGAAATTACTTCAACACTACGGCGTACAGCAGCCGTGTCGTTATGAACCTCATTCAACAGTTGGCTAGATGACAATGTCAGGTATCAGGTGATCTACTACTGAAAATGCAGTGAGGTGTTTTAAGTGAATACAGGAGTAAGACAAGCTGGCTGCCTATTACAACCAGTGCAATTCTCAATTGCTGTGGATTGTATTATGCGTCAGACTTTTGCGGGTGAGGAGTCACGAACACCTTGGACCACCAATGAGAAGACTCCTGAAGAACTGAATTTCTCAGATTATGTATGTCTAATGTCACACAAACTCGAAGACTTGCAAGCGAAAACCAACAAACTGTCAGAAGTGTCAGGCAGGTCACACATAAAAGATGTATGTGATGAAGATAATCAGAGAACAGCAACACCAACCAGCACCAATCACCATTAATAATAGGGGTTATCTCCTTCACTCATCTAAGAAGCACCGTTTCAACTACAGCTCAGTGGAACGGACGAAGATGTCAAAGTCAGGTTCGGAAAGGCAAGATACGCCTTCATCAACCTGAATTCACTTTGGAAGTCTTCTGTACTCAGCTTAAGGAAAATGATTCGCATTTCTAACACAAGTGTGAAGTCAGTTCTTCTATACGGGTCAAAAACTTAGCCAGAGTATCACGAAAAATACTTTCAACAGGCTGCAGACATTCATCAACACCTGCCTTCACTCCACACTGAAGATCAAGTGACCAGAAAGAAAAAGCAACAAGAAACTATTGGAACAAACCAAACAAGAGCCGATTAGGCAGGAAATATGCAGGAGAGATTGGAGATGGATCGAGCCTACAGTGACGAGACCATCAAGTGACATTGGGCGCCAGGACAGTGCTCGAGAAGAATCCAAATGATGAGCTTTGAGTGGGTCGTACAAGGGTGACATGGGGAAGATCGTGAGAAGAACAGACGAGAGAGATTAGTCAACCGTGAACCCAGCTGAAAATGACGGCGGAAAACAGAACTAAGTGGGGACGTGTTGTTGAAGCTCTATGTTTCACTCAAATCGAAAGGTAATGATAGATAATTAAATAATAAAAAGTAAAATGCACATGGATGAGAGTAGGTAATTGTCATCAAATTAAGTGGCTCGCATGAATCACCAGGCTGCATGAAATTCCACCCAACACAATGAATTTGTCTAATTGTTATAATCTCAACCAATCACTTATGTTCTGGGTTCGGAAACCGCTCTTATGCATATTTTTGTTGAATTTCTAATTAACAGTGGGCTTGCCGTGGAGACGAAAGAGAATATAACTTAAGGAATTATTTTTAACCTTAATTGTAACAGCATTGCAGGAAGTGCTATTAAGTGAACGAACAATCACCAACACAAAGATGGAGAAGGAGTGGGCAATGAAACTTCAATAGAGAGCTATAGACTGGTAGAGGGGAACGTTTCCTTGTGAGTGATGCCTGAATGGTGAAAGTTGTTAGCGACATATTCAAGCCTGAATGATGAAAGATGCTGACAAAGGATATTCAGTGAATGTGTTGTGTAGTGTTGTTTTGTGTTAATTTTGCGTTGTTGCGTGTTGTGTGGCCCTGTGTTGTGATGTGATGTATTGTGTCCGCTTCAGTCTGTCTCCACGAGCATTTTTCACTCGAATTCATCGATTTTGCTGTGTTTCCCTGAATTTGTGCTGGCTGTCATCTCTAGTTAGTTGGTCACTTGGTTAGTTATTCAGTTATTTTTTCTGTGTTGCTTGTCTGTTTGTTTGTAGGCTTTTGTGTTTGTTTGTGTGGTAGGTCGAGTGAGGTCGATGGTGGTTGATGCATACTGCTGGATTGATTATGAGTGCTGAGGTGGCGGATTGACAGGAGTGGAGAAGGCGAGTGTTGGGCTCATAATGAACTCACTCACCTGATGTTTCTGACTCGAATTGAGTGACGTTCGTCAACTGTTCATCGTAGACATATGACGCAGTGCTTTCTGGCTGATCTGAGTCTGGTTGTGATTCTGTGGACAAAGATGGAGAAGGAGTGGGCAATGAAACTTCAATAGAGAGCTATAGACTGGTAGAGGGGAACGTTTCCTTGTGAGTGATGCCTGAATGGTGAAAGTTGTTAGCGACATATTCAAGCCTGAATGATGAAAGATGCTGACAAAGGATATTCAGTGAATGTGTTGTGTAGTGTTGTTTTGTGTTAATTTTGCGTTGTTGCGTGTTGTGTGGCCCTGTGTTGTGATGTGATGTATTGTGTCCGCTTCAGTCTGTCTCCGCGAGCATTTTTCACTCGAATTCATCGATTTTGCTGTGTTTCCCTGAATTTGTGCTGGCTGTCATCTCTAGTTAGTTGGTCACTTGGTTAGTTATTCAGTTATTTTTTCTGTGTTGCTTGTCTGTTTGTTTGTAGGCTTTTGTGTTTGTTTGTGTGGTAGGTCGAGTGAGGTCGATGGTGGTTGATGCATACTGCTGGATGGATTATGAATGCTGGGCTTGTGGATTGACAGGAGTGGAGTGTTCGTTTGTTGGGCTCATAATGTTCTCACTCACCTGGTGTTGTTGTTCCGAAATGAGATATGCAAATCGACCATGGATGACTGTCCTCTAACTCAGTGCTTTCTGACTTAGATCTGACTCGCCGTGTTTCTGTGTAGAAAGAGCAAAATAAAGTGGTTCAGTGAGACAGGAATGTAAAGATATTGAGTGTTAGACGGGAATATTACATTGTGAGTTATGCTCGATTAATGGAGGGTGCTGGCGCCTTTTTCAAGTCTGAATGATGAGTGATTTTTGCTGAGGATTTTCAGTGAATGTGTTGGGTTGTGTTGTGTGGTGTTGTTTTGTGTATTTTTGTGATGTTGCGGGTTGCGTGACCCTGTGTTTTGATGTGGTGTATTTTGTCGGGTGAAATGTTTCTCCACGGGCATTTTTTCATTTGAATTCAGCAATTTTGCTGTGCCTGCATGAATTTGTGTTGGCTGTCGTTGCTAGTTAGGGGGTGAGTCGGTTAGTCAGCTATTTTTTCTGTTTTGTTTGTCTGTAGGCTTTTGTGTTTGTTTGTGTGGTAGGTCGAGTGAAGTCGATGGTGGTTGATACATACTGCTGGATGGATTATGTATGCTGGGCTGGTGGATTGATAGAAGTGGAGAGGTCAATTGTTGGGTGCATAAATAACTCACTCACCTAATTGTTTTGTGTTTGTATTATTATACGTCTCCCAATGGGATCTCTCATTTGACTGATTGTTCGCTCGTCGTGTTTCTGTGGTTGAAGAGGAAGAGGAAGTGTTTCAATTAGACAGAAATATAGAGGTATAATTTGAAAACGGGAAAATTTCTTCATCAATTATGGCAAATTGTTTGCGGTTTTAGTGACATTAATATGCTTTTTTGAATATTGTTTTTCCTGTTATTTTATTGGAATTGTTTTCTTGTTCTAATTTTTAATCACATTTATTTTTTCAGCGATTTCGCACCTCCATCCAATCACTGCATATTTTTCACACTTATAAAAATTCTATGACACCATACTTGGCTCGTATTATGTGTGATGTAAATAGTGTCAGGCAAGAAGTTACTAACCTTTTTCATCTAGTAAATAAACAATTTCCTTCATCCATCCATATATACCTTCAAGTTTTACTTTTATTATTTCAATTATATTTATTGCCCAGTTGATTCTTTGTTTTACTCTTAAAATTGCAAACACATACTTATCTCTATGAATGCTGTACCCTTTGTTATTCCCCCTACCATATCATGTAAAGAGAACATTATATTCAATATTTTTAAACTTGCTAGGATTCCTATACCGCCTCGACAATGCTATGTGAAACAAGCCCACGGCAATTTGTTGGATTATACGGTCTTTGTTCATTGGTTGTCAGAGATCCCTACTTCCAATACTCTCTGACTATGTATTCTTCACTATTGAGAGAAGGCAGCTGTTCATGAAAATATGCAAATATGTTTGCAAACAGCCAATCAGGAGACCGCCTTCTTTCTGCGGGCAGAGCCTTATTAATGTACGTAAAATACATATAAATACCTGTTGGTTTTTGTAATAAAACTGATCTGTTGCCTGGCCCATGTCTTCTGTTGTTACATGGTATTCTACTTTATGAGCACAAATTATTTGGTGTAATTTTGTTCTTCGATCTTGGTAGTTAAGTGGCCACGTTTTCATATTGTGCTCTGTCCTCACTATATTGTTTTGGAAGACAATCGATGGCTCAGAAATTACACCACTCAGTTCGGAAAACATAACTGTGACACTGTCAATTACGTACGCCACCGATCTTATCTATCACAGATCATTTGCTGAGTGTCATGCTGGCTCATGAGCTCATGTTGGGCTGTTGTGGAAGATATATCGAATTAGATAAGTTTAGAATTGTAGTTGTCGTTCATCTTGCATATTTACGGACAAAATTGATCTGCTAATTTTTGTACAATCTTAGAATAACGTCAACTATTCTGCTTTAAAAATGTCGCAATTTCTGGCCATTTTCCTTCATTTCACCTCGTTTTGAAGACCTCACTACTATCACTACTTATATATATCTAAGCAGCACGCTGCACACTTTTGAAATTGTGTATTAGGAACATAATGCATGCTGAAATCTTTACGAATAGATGCTGTTCACATAACAAAGCAGTCGAATCATTGAGTCTTTAGTTGACTGCTGTCACAAACAGATTAGTATCGGATTCAATGTGGACATTATTTTAACTATTAAACATGAGGAGACCATACAGAAATTTACGAAAACATGATAAAGTGATAATGGTTGTTGTCATACATAAAACTGACTATTTAAATAAAATAATGACTTTATTCAGTGATCTGGAGATGCTGGGGCATCCAGGTTATATGGTCAACGTAAGATCCCTGAAAGAGACTTTCCGAATAGAGCAGTCCTGGATATGTCTACATCACCACACCATTTATCTGCCTATTGACTAGCACAACTTTTACATCCGATGCACAATAAACTGCTAAAACAAAATCTTAGAGACGGTTTGTAGATTGTCAAGAGAACTGGATACCCGAAGGTAATAGATGAGTTCACGATATGTATATATGCAAAATGGTGTCACTTAAGAGGGATATAAATCAATAAAACAAGTTCAAGTTTGTCAGGTTTGTCAGTTGTTATGTATAACAAGTCTATGTGCAGTTGGCTGGATCTGTGAAGTGGAAGACACTTCATGGGAGGCGAGGTTGGTGTTGTTGGAACCAGTTCAAATTTTATTTTAACCCATGATTTCCATTCAGGCTGTTCGCATTACATATAACATAATTTGGTTCCGATGTGAGACCTTCTTTTTGACTTCTAATATTTATCCAGATGATTTCAAAATTGTCAAAACCAATTATTTGGCATGATTTCCTGTACCGTGTGCACCTACCTGATGTCTTTTCAAGGTTTTATAGTTCAACTAGACTTCTCAATGGTTCGGTAGATGACCTACAGTGTCCATTTATTATGATCATGATTTCTCACGGGGGATTGTCGAAATTACATTGGATCACACTTCAGTGCATGTTATTTTATAACCGCAAACAGACTGTGAATTCCTTGAAAAATGGTCTTGAAAACGTAAGAATTACGTATGCTGAATAAAGACGATTAAGTTGTGATATATAAGTCGAGGTATCGCAAATACCGCTTCAATATTACCACTTCGATAAAGCTAACAGCTGAATTAAAAAGCGAGACGTAAGTAGAAAAAACGCCGTTCAGTTTTCCATTCATGGGGAATTACAAAAATCTTGTTATTATTCTTGACTGAATTAAAACTATCATTTGTTAGCATCATAATTTTTACTCATTTTACTATTATTATAAGCTTCATAATTTCTGACATCTAGATTTTTCCCTAGTAAGTGATTGTTTCTTCTAGTGATGTGACTGAACTGTGATCCACTCAAATCCTAATATTAATCCCTCATACCACTTCCACTTTATCTATCTGAACTTCGCCTGTAAAATCTCAGGTTATATATAAACAACTAAATCATCTTTCTTCAGCATGCGGTCATATTTTCGTTGTAAAACTGGCCAATTGGAAAAGATAACAAAACCAGGTGAAGGTTGTTGGATTTGATAAGCGTGTAAAATTATTAACACAGCGTGTGTTTACATAAGGAAATTGCTTATTGCATTCTTGATATAAAAATAAAACTTGTGCACTGTGGAAGAGTGTAATTCCATTATACAATTATTGCATTCTTCTCTATTTTATGGAAATCATATTTCTAATGCCCAAATTTTTTCAAACCGTTAAGAGTGAACTTGGTATGGACATATATAACAATAACCTCAGTAATTATGTGTTGGGAGGAAGTGAACTGTGACTGAATATGATGTTTGCATTTGTTTATTCTCATGCTATTACTGCAGTCCACTTTCAAGTGTTGCGCACCCATGAACACATACACTCTATTCATGAAATCTCTGTATCATGACACATACGTATACACCGCTTAATTTGGCTTCAATGACAAAGTGAATATTTTGATTGCACATTGCCCGAGTATGATTCCGAAAACAAAATGGTGAGACACATTCGACTTTTGAACACCCAATATTGTTTATACGACCAACTACTAGAAGAAGAAGATTTCACATACATTTCCACTGTTTTCGGATTTTTCTCTACATTTATAAAATCGCATTGAACAGCTGACATAGCCGATATAGTACATGTGTATGATGGAGAAGGTTTGTAGCTCAGGTGAATGATTTTGATTTGTTGTGCTCTCTGAGATGGTTGGTGGTTTATTTCCGAAGCTTACATTGTCCTAATAGGCAACACCTTCAGCGCATACTGCAATCTAAAGTGGGCTTTAAGATTTCTCTACGAGTTTATTAGTCACCTCTTGAGGGTGAGCTTCGCAAATAAACCACCATCCATCTCAGAGAACACAATTACATCAAAGTAATACATCTTTATTCAAAGCAACATTTCACTTCCAACTGTAAATCGAATACGCGTCTCAAAAAAATTGGAAAAACACTCGAGGCAAGAAATGCAATTATCAAGTTCACAATAACTCACCAACACTTCCAACGACGACCAACGATGCAATCCAGATCAAGTAGACAATCTTCATCTTGCTGAGTGACCTCCTTCTCAACTGCCTCGTCTTTTATAGCAAATCATGTCAGTCTCCAGCGAATCAGAAACATTGTGGGCGGTGAGTGAAGACAATTCGTAGGCCACTATTTTCTCAGACAATTGGACAGAGACGATTGCTCATCTTGTGATAGGTAGGTTACACAGGCAGTTTTCATTTGGTGTTGGTGAAGAACATTGATGGTAAGGGTAGTGGCAGTCAAGGTGAAGCTAAACTACAGTGAAGTGGTAAATTGTAGAGAAATATTCACAGTGTATTTTTCTTATCAACAACCGCATTTCCCGTAATACTGCAAGTCAGTAGTGGATTGAATGTTGCATAATGTGAGATTCCATAACTAAGTGTTCTTCACAGAACCCAAGACAGTTTATTTATATGTTTGCACTGACGATATTTTTTATCAATGTCATGATTAATCCTCTCTCGAAATAAAGTTATTTTTTTCATGGTTGTTGAGCACAGCATCAGTTCATTCGAGCAATGTTGTTTTGTTTTGTTTTTGATATAGTAATTGTTTGTTGGGCTGGATGATTGGATGTGTCTTCTTCATTAGGACAAATTTGAGTGAGTAGGATTAACATTCAGTCGAATGGTTAACCATATGCATATCACAATGTGACAAGTAGCTTCATGTAGGCTGATTTCAAATAAGTTGAGAGAATCCTTAAACTTTTCATCTGCAAACAAATATCCGTTAAGGATTCAAACGAATACCTGCTGATGGTCTGATCTATGCTTCTGAAACGTTGGCTCACCAGTTTCGAATTCTTCATCATCTTTTTTTGAAATTGCTTTCGCAACATATAGAAAATCGTTCTCATATCTTATAGTTGCGGAAGTAAGCATATTAGTAAGTTTGAGTTGGATATCCCTTTACCTCGTTATTATGTGTAGTTGAAGCCTATCACCTGTTCTATTATATTCGAATTGCGTGACTTTTGTTATCACATCACTCAAGGCAGATGGAAAAGCACCCAGAACACATCGTGAAAATAATCGCATGGTTAACAGTTACCTATGGCAGCTGAGTACTACAATGCAAGAAGCTCACTGTTGCAGTGAGTGTCTGTGATGATATCACCAGGTGCAGGCAATGCTCTAATGCAGTGGGAACCAATTCCATCCACGATCACGAGAGCAACGTTAAACTCAATAGGCAGAAAGGATGGTTGCAATAATCCAATGCTACGCACAGTGCTACAAACAACACGGAACAATAGAAGAAATACGACTTTACAGAATACTACAAGCAGTAATGTACAATATCCCGAATAGAGATATCGAAATCCTCATAAGTGATATGAATGCAAGCCGAAATGAGAACAGATAATATAGGGAGGGAACTCACCCAGGGTCGAGAGGATCTCTCTTGGTGAAATGAATAAGAATGGATAACTTTTCGCAGACCGTAAACTAGTCGAAGGAACCACCAAGTTGCAGGTGAAATCCCTGAATGAAACGGAAGACAGACCACTATGATTCTAATTTAACATGCAGAAATTGAAGGACAAAACATCAACAGATGCCTTCAGAACAGGTCAGGGCATACTTGGAGACACTGCGTGGTTTTTGTGAGGAAATCAGCGTGGAAGTATTCCTTTATGGGTAAAACTAATTTTGATAAAGACTCTCAGTGTTATACATTATTATTAACTGATGAAGTTTCAAGCACATTTTATTGCTCATAATCACATTAAGGTTATCAAAACGAAATTGGAATGTTATTTGAGCACCTTCATATGATAATGAACAATAAATTGTGCTCAAAACATCATCATAAAATAATGCTGTGTAACACTGTGTGACTTCATCAAAATAAATTTTACCCATAATGGAATTATACTCTACCAGAGTGTAGAAGTTCTGTACTTATATCAGCGTGGAAGAACTTGTGACCAACTCACTAAAAGTGATATTCAAGGAAACGTGTACAACTTTTCGAGGAAGAAATAGAAGACACATAAGGGGCTGGCTCTCAAAACGTACCTGTAAGTCAATAAAAGTGATGGGAGGAGGGCGGTGAAAGAGAAGACGACCAAATGCAAAATGGACAACTGAAGGCGACGCTGAGTTCAATGTACACTGGAATGAATAAAACGGTGAATAATAGGGCGAATGCAGACAGAACAAAATTCTACGACACGCTGCCTTGCAAATGAAGCGGAACAGATGGATCTAACCCAGCATATCAAAGAGAGCGGTCATAAATTTGTTTTTAATAATGTTGCTAAATAAGTCAATCAAAAAGATTGAAAACATACTTAAATTCATTGAAACCATAGTCTTAAATGTTCAGTATTCCTGCGATTCCGTTAGATGGCGAAGATTTCTCCGCGTATGTCTCAGATGATCTCTCAGAAAGACTTATAAAATGTCAGAGGATGTATTTTAAACTGAAGATTTTCGTTGAAATTGCCGCTCCTAGCACAGCGTCAAGCAATCGAAAACCTCAACTTCACCGAATCATTTACTCCCTAAAAAGTGGTATTTTGAGAGAGTACATATGACAAACGGTATCCATCTAAGATTAGCAGATGCTAGTTTGATTGTCTGTGAAAGCAAATAAAAAGCGGAACACTTATGAGCAAAAGTAAATTCATGACATCATGATCTTAACTTCACAACAACACACGTGGAATATAATAACTGTTCGGAATTTGACCTGGCAGTACACTTGTATATAAAATGAAGTCCCTAGTGGTTAATCTACCTTCGAATGCAAACTACAATTAGTCCATCAACGAATATCCTAAAGAAATAAGCCTTGTTAAAATTACCCAAATATAATCCAAAGTAGCTGTATACATCAATGTGCGCTTGAAATCAGATGATGCACAGGATATGGTCCAACGAAGACTTGAGGAGGCCCTCAGGAGAACCTACAATGCCACAGAACTCGCGTTAGTCGACCTCCTTAAGTTGGTGCTGCTGCAATCTAAGAAGTCATCATCGCCAATCCTCGACACTACAAGTTGCATGTATCATTTTGAACGTGTTTGTAGTAGCAAATGCGTTGGTCGTACGAAAAGGCGATCGCCTACTCGTATGATGGTGTTTTATCCAAGTTAGTTATATGTGGCTGAGTTCAAAGTACCAAACTGTTTATTAGGAGGGAATATTGTAGACTGCGGACATGACACCTAATTCATAAACGTAATTCACAAATGTCAGAAGAGAAATCAACAGGAAGATGCTCGCTTGTGAAATTAGAATTGTTAACCCGATCTCTGTGTACAAGAAGAAATGGCGGTCATTTTGATCCTGCCACGCTTTACTTATCAACCAATAACAATGATATTATTAACAATCTCTCATAGTGAGTACTGGTGCTGTTACATTAAAAATTGTCTTATATCAGTAGCATTTACTGGACTCGTTCAAACAGTGTCTTTATTACCATTAATCACAGTAGTATTCAATTCACAATACTTGATATATATTCACGTTCGTTCTCCGATCAATGATCGCTAATCGAAATGATGCAATTGGAACGTCATATAAAATTTGCCTAATTTCAACCCTTCACAATCACTCTCCAGTCATCAATTTGCACATGACTTGTATAAATTATTCCACCTATATCTCTCAGCATGATTAGTTCAGTCTTGTTTATTTAGTTATTCGTCTTACATTTGTCGATGTAATTCTTATAGTATAAATGTATATATATCTATATATCCCTATGTCCAGAGTATTCAGAGGAAGCGTTCGACTGAAATTCGATGCATTCATTAAAACCTGCTCTACTGATGTTTATTGCTGGTTTTGATTTAATGTGTTTGCGAATGTGGAGAACATCGAGCACAAAATTATCACTAGGCAATGAATCCAACTCGCTTAAACTTATAAAAGATCGAGCTTTTATTTATAACTGGACGTGAAATTCTACTGATTTGATTTAATTAGTTTTACTGCTGCTCAATCTTGAAATCAGGTGTTGAACCACATAAAGCTTGAAATCATGAGATTCGAAGGCATAAAATAAGAAGCACAAATCAGCGCTTGATTTTTCGGAAAAGGACAAGAAATTGATATTGACTAAAATGAACAGAATTGAATTGACTGTCTGCGAAACAACCACCAAATAACACTGGACTCTTCAGTATACACCTAGAGCAATGCAGAAATAATTAGTGAATACATCCATCTCTTTCATCATTCTTTGATTCAGAGTCTTTTATATGCATGTGGAGGTATGTAATAAATAGAAATAAAGGCTCCAACCCTGAAACCAGTCTTCTTTTATTTATAGGCATAACGAAGTTAGCACATGAGTTTTCAGTCAAATATCGAAATAGCGAGGAAAAGAATTTTCCATTTAAAATAAGTGACGTCCATTCGTGAAAGGTGATGCGATCATAGTAACAATCAATATGCAAATGGACAAAAGTGTAACGTGTGGAAATAAATTCATTCTTCGAACTTATCAGCTAAATTCAAGGTACATAGACACTGAGTGAAGGACACTACACCGGACTGCATAGCTCAGACGGAACAGTCAAAGATTTCAGAGATTGGTGTCATATTAAAGTCATACTACACCACATGTGCCTTCGAATCCAATGCTACATGATGAACAGGGTATCTTGACATTCCTAAGACGTCATCTGGCCATCTCAATTGATGCGTTTTCACAACTGCATAGACCAGTTCCCCTCATAATCAGAGGGTACCCAGCTTGCAACTTGTTAGTATTTTATGCAAAGAATAGTGCATCCAATTGTCCTCACTTAATAAAATAAAAATAAATGTCTTTCGAGCTATAACCTCAAGTCAGATTTTAGAAATAATCAAAATCCGAATGAGACTGCTGAAAAAGCTGTGGCTTACATAGCGAAAAGTTCAGAAAAATCTTGTTTTGTTTTTATTAACACGCTGGGATTAATTAAAATTATTTATAACGTAAATTCAAACAGTCTACAGAATTTTAGAAAAATATTGAAATTTATTTTCCAATGTTCTTCATATTTTGTTAATAAATTAATATTACCAATTCACATTCTTCTTTTCTTCGTCTTTATCTGCTTGACCTCTATTCTGCGGTATCTTCCGTTTTGAATATTATAAAAATATTCTCATCTAATTATCTTTAGTTAAGTCACGTTTATTTTGTCTAAATTAAGTAATGTAAGCAGTGTGATGCTGGGATGAAGCTTTGCTACTCTTCTACAGTTGATTTTTCTTTCTTTCTTTGTTTTCTTGTTGTGCTGATATTTTTGCGTTTCTTTTTCTCTTGTGAATCCATTTCATACTCAGTTGAGTGCTTAGTTTGCCCATTCAGCATTCAGTGCATTCTGGTCAGTGTAATTTGTCCTCTCTTGTAAGCCAGAATGTAAGAGTACTTTCACCGATTCACATTATCACCATCTGAAATCTGCTTTACATCAGAAACACTGTTGAGAGTTTAGAAGACTTTCGTGGCGCTTATTGTAACGCACTAATCGACTGTTTCCGACGAATTCATTATCCAACTGTACAATCTTGTGTATATGGTTTTCTTCAAGAGATTCTGTCCGGGACGGGAATCGAATCAAAGTTGTGAATATATCAAGTAATAATAGCAGTATTAAATGCAAATACAATCCTTGTGATTGCAATCATAGTGGAATGTCAAGTGACAAGACAATTCATTTCATTTATTGAGTGATTCATACATTGTTTATTGATTTCATTGTGAATATAACGCAGAATGAGAATTCTTCAGTTCTTGTAAGTTACAATTGACTTCTCTGTAGAGCAGAAGCCCTCACAATATGCATCGATATGGCGGAGTTGTGTGGTCAAATGAAATCATTCCAATCACTACGATACCAGGGACCTAGTTCGGTAGGTTCTCTTAGCCTCCAGTTTTTATTTTTTTCGTTCACTGTGTCTGTGATTTTTCCCTCTTTGTCTTCCTTCAATTCATTTTATTTTTCTGTTATAATTAACATTTATTTAAATTTTGTTTGCATGCTCTTCCTGATCACATTTGTAATTCATTTAAAATAACTATTTGAAAATTTTATTTTAATCCTGTTTGTGTTTTCCGCATTAGACTGTCGTAATCAATATTCACACCTCCTAACTTCCATTTCAATTCGAAAATTATTATTTCACTCTGTTTCCATTCTTATTGTAGTATACACCTGTAATTCCTCCTAATCCAGTGTGATGTCGTCTCCAAGCCTCTTGTACACCATACCTAGTTGAAAATAGTTGTCACCTTTTATTCGCCTCAGTAACTATGTGGAATCAAGTAAAATTGATATCTTTATAAAACAGTGTATTTAAATGCGATTGTACAGCTTTTCAAAATGAAGTCTCCGATACTGTAACTTTGCTGAACTGCGTGTTTTCTCCTTTCAGGTGAATATATTTCTCCTTCCAGCAACTTAGGATTGTGTTCTGCAGGCCGCCTAATCTCCACAGATCCATGATTCCTTATTGTTAGTGTAAAACTTGGTCACTGCGTCATGATGTTTTTCTTTATTGGATAAGTTTAGTTTAAATTGATGCGGTACTAAAAGTTCATATAGTTAGTTTGATGGAGAGATAGAGTTTGATCATTGAAGCTTTATATGTCGATTCAACACTGCACACGTGTAATTTGAATGACGCAACATCTACACCGGAAATATCGAAAGTGTCAAAGCGAAGTTGGGGAGACAGAAATAGAGAAAATGCATATAAGACAAATTGTGAAATCATGTGATATAAATATGATCAATAATTTGTGCTCGAAACGTCATCCATTTGTTAACATTTTGTTGCTCTGTGATATATTAAATAAACTTATCTAATAGGGAGTCTACAAGTTCTCTCTATTACATGTGACCTCAAGTGCATATAAATTGATAGACACAGTGGGATGTGACATTATCATTCCTATGTTGTGAAAGTTTACAGAACAGAATAAACCTCATCTCCTCACAAATGCCTAGAATTCATATGAGGACCAGCCATATTGTACAATATTCCTTCGAGTGAATGCGAGAATCTGAAGATAGGTTAGTCCCTTAAAGCTTGTAATGATGCAATGCCAACCCGCGCAAAAATTGCGAAACATTGACCCAGGTTCCACAGCTGATCGCCTCATAAAAATATGCAACAATATATATGTCTGAACCGAACTTCACTGTTACCTCACGTGAAATATGGTGTAGCGATATAGTTGATGAAAAATATAAAATCACTTGTATTCACATATTGAAAATGCTCGGTTTTATTTCCCACTAGTTTGCACTAGTCTTCGAGTGTCTGTTTTGTGTGCTGCAAACAGTCTGAATCAGGCTGTCGTA